GCGGTTTCCAGGCACGGCTGGTGTAATGAGTTTATTTCAGTACTAATGACGCAATCCCAGCTCAACGCATGCTCGGGGAAGGCTCTGTTTGACCCCAAGGTGTTATTTTTATTAGCGTAATAATCACTGTTCGGTTGAAAAGTGCACAGGCCGTGAGTATTTTGCCAAATGCATGCGGCAGCACCATGATTTACTTCATCATTAAATCTAATTCTTTTGGAGATGCACTTGCTCCACTCTTCGGGTCTCCCTTTTCATGGATTAGGATTGAAAGTACACAAAGATTTTTCCACCACAGATCGCCCTGATTTAAAGTAATCTTGGAATATATGGACATATTCCACATTTTACACTGCCCTCAGCGCATTACAGTCCTGGGTGCGAGGAGATCAAACCCTTCAATAAAATAGAACAAAAAATAAATAAATAGACAGCCAAAAAAAAATAATAAACCCAAAACAAAACAGAAAAGACTTAAAGATCTGAAAGAAGACACAGAATTGTAATCATCAGCTTTTATTAGGTTAAGCATTGGTAGAAGAATGCTGCACATAAGCATTGCTGGAAGGAAATAAAGATGTAAATACAGCTGTAATTAAGACATTAATTAATTAACACCTTGCCCAGGTGTGTTTTGGTGGGTGCAGGGAGACAGGGAATGGGGGTTATGTTTCTGTCTGCCAAAGCTCAGGTTTATCTTCTTGGTTATCCAGTTTTTTGGGGATAAAGGAAATATTCTTCATCAGGAGCAGCGCACAGAATTCCCTCCGAGGCAGCACCTGCACTGTGCCATCTGAGCCTCGTTAAATCCTCACAGTAACTACTGAGAGCAGAAAAGCATTCAAGATTTACAGTAAAATGTCCTTTTTTGGGCACAGAATTCCAGTCTCCATGTAAGCAGCGTTTCCTCGGAGCCCGGTGCCTGGTTAGCAGCAGCACGGATGCCCAGCCTAGGGGAGATGGTATCCTGCTGTTGAAATTAGAGCTTTCCTGTTTTTCTACTGATTTCTAGAGATTCCATCGCCACCCGCAGAGGGAGGAGGGAATTTCTGGGAAATGCTTTGTTTCAAAGAAATCACCCAGCTGATATTGTTTGCGTGTCCCACTTTGTAGGTTGAAGTGCTGCTAACAGTGAAAATTCACTGTTGGCTGCAATAGACCCAGAAAGCAGATTCACTTGTAAGTAAAAATACCATTGTAGCAAGTGTGAAAGCAATAAAAACCCCCAGAAACCAAGTCCAGCGTTCTTTTCTGAGTCTGCTGCAGCTGAGACAGTTTTCCAGTTTTTTCATAATCTGTACAAGTTAAAAGCAGCTTTAAATCAGAAGCAAGGACTGGTCTGGATGTCTGACACCCAGATTGTGGATGAAGGAAAGACACGCTTTGAGGGCAGTGTCAGAAAGAAAAATAGGATGCTTTAAAAGCCCAATACATTTAAAACATCTTCTATTCAGGAAAAGAAAATATGCTATCAGAAGATGAGAGGGAAAGAGGTTTTTATTTGAATTATTGCATTAGGAAAGTATTTATTCAAGGAGACAATGCAGTCAGCAGCATAAACAAGTGACAGTATCGTTATTGCAGCTCCAGCAGGTGTTTTGTGCCGAGGAGTGTAAATCCTTACCTCCTATGGCAGACACAAGTCTTTGTGCTCAGTTGCTGAGTTCAGGGGGGTTCTGTAATTGTAGTTCTCATAGGTACGATAATAGCTACATGGAAAAGAAGGAAACAATGAATTGCCTCGTAAAAGAACACTGGGTTTGGTTTCCTTTAAGAAAGAGAGGCCTGAAATAAAATGACACAGCCACTCCATGGATTCCAGGCTGTATCCCTGACACAGCCACTCCATGGATTCCAGGCTGTATCCCTGACACAACCACTCCATGGATTCCAGGCTGTATCACTGACACAGCCACTCCATGGATTCCAGGCTGTATCCCTGCACAACCACTCCATGGATTCCAGGCTGTATCCCTGCACAGCCACTCCATGGATTCCAGGCTGTATCACTGACACAACCACTCCATGGATTCCAGGCTGTATCACTGACACAACCACTCCATGGATTCCAGGCTGTATCACTGGTACAATCACTCCATGGATTCCAGGCTGTATCACTGACACAATCACTCCATGGATTCCAGGCTGTATCACTCACAAGCCTGAGCTGAGGGTACAAAATGACAAGGCCTGGACACACTGAGGTAAATATTTGGAGTGTATCAAGTGTATAAAGCTAGGGACTTGGCACCAAGGGGCAGGAATAAACATCCAGAGCTGCCTTACCCTTCCTTCTGCTTGGAGATTATTTTCCAGACAACGCCTGCCCCCAGGAGCAGCAGAACTGCTGCGGCCGCCGCTCCTGAGGGAGAAGAACCCGGGTTATTCTCACCGTGTGTTGTAAAGTACACGAAATGCACTACAGGGTGTATCTGCCAAGTAAGCAGAGGGAGGATGTGCCACTGAGGCCACTGAGCTGGGGACAAAAATGTTCATAAGATGCTTACCTAGGCCCACAGACCTGGAGTGGGAGGATGCTGGAGGGAAGGGAAAAAATGAAAATCAGCAAACTCTTCTACCAAAATACAACATTTCTCATCTGTCCTTAATCAATACCAATAAACCGTTTAGAATCATAGGATGGTTTGGGTTGAAGGAATCTCTGAAAGTTCATCTGGTTCCACCCCCCTGCCATGAGCAGGACACTTTCCACTATCCCAGGTTGCTCCAAGCCCCGTCCAGCCTGGCCTTGG